CAAATCTCTAAAAACGGGGGAACAACGGAGCTGATCCAGATTTGCGTCCGATATGACGTAATATCTGAAATGTGGACCCACGGCCCTATCAGAAAGTTGCTATCAGAAACAATGCCCGACTGTTTTGGACGTAATATGGTCGGTGTTCACATTAGCATCGCTAACACTCAGAGCTAACCTGTACTGGAGAGCATGTGTGTGAAGAAGCAGGAAATAGAAAGGAACTCACCTTGTGGTATAACCGGCAAGAGAGAAAGCCTTTGCGCTCCATACTGTTTCAGAGATAATCCTTGATAATCCATGATATGGAGTTTCATCACGACAGTATTTAGTTTAGACAGTAGCTGCCGGGTCCCGCATGAGCTCAGACCCCTCCTTTTTTATTTGTTATCAATTTTTTTTTTTTAAAGCTTTATACCTCAAATCAACACTTTTGAAACAGGAAGTGAAATAGAGGGATATGAGGCATGGCTAGAATGGGTGATCTGTTTGGTACTTTGAGCAAAACACTTCATAGACATGTTTTTTTATATATTTTTATATATCTGAGACCTACGCTATTGCCTAAAAATAGCATGATAGGTGACCTTTAAACAAAGCAAGATGAACAAAGTGTCTGGAGTAGATATACCTCTAAATGCATACATTGTTTTTCTAGAATTAGACACTTATTATGAACGCATGCACATTCTGCACCACTGTCATCATGCCGCTGCGTCCACAGTGTTGATGTATTATATGTGTGATAGATGTCATATCATGTGATGGAAAGCTCTTGGAAAAGCGCTCAAATAAGTGCCATGAATTATTAATTATTGTTCGTCATTTGTTTGTAGTTTAAGGATATTTTGGTGTTAATTATGGGTGTTTTTATTGTGTTATCTTATCACTCTTGAAATTAGAATAATAAACACAAATTAAATAAAACAATAAAAATGTCAAACGTAAAAAAATGTAAAAATGATTTAAGATAAAATGTCAGATAACATTTAAAAAAATTAATTAATTATGAAATAAATTATCTCTTATGTGTTTAGCTTATCTAAACTGTTCTCCTAACTTCTCCTTTTTTCACTCTCACAGGAATCATCCACCCATCCACAGACGGCACTAAGCTGTACGCTGCAGTGGGGTCTTCAGTCTCTCTCCCCTGTGTTTTCTCCTCCGGTCTGACCCCCTCTGATCCGATCTGGGAGAAACTGAAACCTGGATTTCTTTTCAAACCTTCCTCCGGTCGCCTTCCTGCTTCTTTCTCTCTGTCCTCGTCCTCCTCTCAGCCTCTCAGCGATAAATCTGCCAGTCTGACAGAAGTCGAGGTTGGGGATAAGGGTCGCTACAGATGCTCTGGTGCTCTGGACGGACAGCAGCTGTCCCGAAATATGGAGCTAGTTGTTGCTAAAAGTGAGTTAACATGCATTCAGTATCTTTTCCAATCAACACTCAATCAACATGTATATTAAATTATATTACATCTCACTTCGCAGAGCCAAGACCCATTCCATTTATTCACTGTAGGCTTTCTGACCTCATAATGATTTTAACATTGCATGTGACCATCTTGTTTTCCTCTCAGTCATCAGCAGCCCCCCGTCAAAGACCTCTGTGACGCTGACCTGCGATCTGACGGACAGCAGCGAGGTCACCGACTACGAGTGGGTTCAACTGATCTCTGACCTCAACGGCAGCCAATCGGTTCAGTCCGTTCAGAAGGGAATCTCTCTGAGTATAAACACCGAGTCCGAGGAGAACCAGGGGGAATGGGCCTGCCGGTTCTCCGGGAAACACGGCATTCTGGGAAATGTGACATACCACATCCACACGATGAGTAAGTTCATTTCTATTTATGTGTATCATAATATACTTTAACTATACCTAAACACTGGTTAAATGCTCATGCAAAAATATCCCCTTCACTAACTGTTATGAAACCAACTTTCCCTCCTGGGATAAACAAATTATTTCTGATCCTGACGTCTGACCACTTTTATATTATTTTTCCCCGCAGGCGGTCTGAGTGGACATAAATCTCCGGGGTCCTCTCAGAACACGGCTGTTGTGGTCGGCCTGGGCTTCCTGCTCCTTGTTCTGCTGCTGATCCTGGCTCAGATGTACAAGAACCACCGACGGGTAAATATCTGCACCGCACAGCAGTTTCCAAATCCCTTACTCATATTTTATTGTTCCATTAAAGACGCGAGATCTTAGAATGACTGTCAGTGTTTCGAGATAAGTCACATCATTGATTGATTCCAGATAATGTTTTGCATGAGTTATATTGAAGCACCTGATTGACTTACTTTACTATCGAGACAACATACTATTATACTGGAAATAAGTATTAGCAAAGTGTCTATGGCTTGTTGTAATTGAGATGCATTTACGTGTGCATCAGATTTAATATTTCTGAACATGTTTTTTCCACAGAGGAAAAGGATCTTTCAGTTTCCTGCGTTGGAGACAATTGTTCACACCAACTCTAATGAGCGGGAGGAGAGAGAAAGAAACCAAGAGAAGAAGTAAAGACACCTTGAAGCAGAGGAAGATGATCTCTCAGAGACTGACCTGAGATCTGTCTTCATGTCTGCAACATGTTGGGAGAATTTAGTTTGCACAAGTTTTGTAAATACAGTATTTTCAGAGCAGACGATGTAGCAGTATTTTTGTTGATTTGAAATGTATCCTGTTGTTTCCATGTATGCATATTGAGAAAAGAATGTTCTACAAATAAAAGTTATTTAACAGAAAAGCCGGTTTATTTGTTATATTATAAACAATCTGAAAGGTCAACGAAAAAGGGGACTTTATCCCTGATATAAATAATATATTTATAAAAAATAACGTTTCATTATATTTACACAAAACACTGGTGATAAAAGTATATAAAATATATTACATTATTTTACATTAATTACAGAATATGTTACACTACAGACTGAAGACCTTTGTGTCAACAGACAGCAAGTAGTTTGCCCAACATATGGTTTCATATTTTAAGTGCTTAAAGGAAAAAGCCTAGATTCTTAGCGCTACACCTGACTACACTCCCCGTCTTCTTGCATTAAACATCCGTGGATATCCACCAAGGCCAGCGACCGGCTGACTCCCTCCAGAAAGCCCTCGCCTTCAGGGTGTAAATGATCCATGACTTCATCATCATCGAAGCACCAGCCGGACCAGTCCACATTCACTCCGTCCGGAAAGATGACACTAAGGAGGGAGGGATGGAGTCAAGATTATTTTGATCGTATATCTTTTACTGTGCATTACTTTCCCTCTGTCTGCATGCTGCACATGCTCAGGTTCACAGAACTGCCACTCAGACGTACATTGGATAATGCATTGAAATGTTATACTAAAATGTACATGAACTACATGCTCTTTAAGTAGCCTTTCAATCGGGTCATAAGGTATGAACCACCATACATATTACAATTATTAATATTTATTACATGGCTTAGTTGAATACTCGATTCTGATTGGTCAATTCAGAACACGTGACACGTTGTTAATCCAGAACAGACAAACCGCTGTCAAGGATTTATTGACCGTTGTTAAGAACGCTCACATCTGCAGAAAGAAGTTCGGTCGATTTAACTGTATACAGTTTGGCTTCGCGTCGGGCTCCTGATCAGCCTGTCGGGCGTTCCTTTCCCCATACTGACCACGCTGCACATTATCCCTTACATGATGCATGGTGTTTAGGGTCAGGCCTACTTTTCATGGGAAAGTATGAAAAATCATCAAATTAGAGCTTGAATATTTGCTATTTGAAAATGTTGTTTAGCATAAATAATTAAAATAGTAATAATTTAAGAAATAGGTTCAAATTGAGCGTAGCAAGGGGAGTGTCTTGTTGAGTTTCTGATGTAAGCAATGCACAATTTAAATTACTTTAGTGTCAAAGTATCCATACATTAATAAACCTTATCAAGAGGAACATGAACATAACAGAGCTATTTTGTCTCTTGGAAATGTGTTTGCATTAGAAAAACGTTATTCAAATGTTGTGTCTCATTGGTTTTCCCCTTTGCGGATTAACGTTATTCAAAATGACGCTTGGTAAAACTAACCATGTGGTTGCATTCATCTCAGCTAAAGTTATAATTTGGAAAATATAATAATGCAACTCTTCAGTAACATGTACAATTTACGATTGATTTGATATTTGCATTTCATCTCTGGATCTGGAGGCTTTCTGATGTACTTTTATACGAGTATTTGAGAGTTATTGACTATTAAGTGTGTGTTTCTAAATTGGGGTTTTCTATGTTGTTGTGTTTTAAAATGTTTTTACATCATGAGGGTTTTAGGTCTGTGGCTATAAGTATGGTTTCATTATCTCGTGCTTTTACATTCGTTTCTTTTTGTCCTATCGGTTTTGTCTAAATGGATTTATGCTGCTTTTTGAGGTACAGCACTTTTTAAATGTGCTATATAAACAAAGTTGGATTGGATTAAATTGTTCTTGAAGTATGCATCATTAGTTTGACATGTTGACCTTTGATAGAAGGCATTTAATTGGAAGTTAGACCCTCCAGAAAAACGCGATTGTGCGATCGCAGAATTTACCGCATAATCAGCAAAATGGCGCAGATTTTTAAAAGGCCGCATATTTATCAAAAGGCCGCATAATCCCCGCATTTTTCCACACAAAGTTGAGAAGAAAAAAAAGTGAACTCGTCTTGACGTGAAGTAGTGATGATGATGACGACGTGACGTCATCAGATCGCGCATCACAGAAGGTAAACAACACCGTAGAGTGAACGTGTGGAACTCACACGAGAGAGAAAACACCAAGATGAAAAAATCTGATCCATCTCATTTACCGACGAACATTTCTGCTAAAGACCGGGCAAAGCAGTACCCCGACGTCTTTCACGAAAGTGGGGGGAAACTATTCTGCACCCTGTGCAACTGTGTGTTGGAGCATAAGGCTTAGAGAACATCGACGGTGACGACCCACTTTGATTCATTCAAACATTCGAAAATGCTTTCTGCTGCTGCGGACAAGAAAGCCAAACAACTCACGTTCAGCGAGGCATCAACCTCCAAAACCCTTTCGAGGGCTACAAGAAACGAGGTGAGAAGCCTACAAGATTGAAGCTGGTCAGATAACGAACGAGTAAATGAAAACAGAATGAGGCGGAGAAGTGTGTGTGTGTGTGTGTGTGGATGTGTGTCTGTGTGTGTGTGTGTCGTTGTGTGTGTGTGTGTGTGTGTATATGTGTGTGTTTGTGTGTGTGTGTGTGTATGTTTGTGTGTGAGTGAGTGTGTGTTTGTGTCTGTGTGTGTGGGTGTATGTGTGTGTGTGTGTGTGTGTGTGTGTGTGTGTGTGTGTGTGTGTGTGTGTGTGTGTGTGTGTGTGTGTGTGTGTGTGTGTGTGTATGTGTGTGTGTGTGT